AAAGTACAGACAGCTAACGGTGAAAAAATTCTCTGAAACCGATGAAAAACACACACACATGCAAATATATACTGTATATATATATATATGCACTCAAATGTATGTGCCCATGAATCCCCCTCTGAACAGCGATGGTCCAATCAAAGCTTAGCAACCGTAACTAGGCACAGCAGGCTAGCAATACTAATTGAATAGTGTGTTTATCTAATCTAATGTAAGCTGCGAACATTCAGAGTACAGCACTCTATTTGAAAAGTGTCCTGAGATAACTTTTGTTATGAATTGGCGCAATACAAAGAAAATTGAATTGAACTGAATTATCATGTCCAGCTAACTAGCTTACTAACGTTACCTGCAGTGGTAACTGAGTGTTACTTCCAAGGCCAAAAGTTACACCAAAAAAGCCTCATTTATGACTAGCACGCACACTGTGTAGCATTTCCCTACTGTAGGGAAGCTGCTCCTGGATGCTATCAGAGTTAACAGCTTAACATTAGTGGCTCTGTTACTCCAGGCAGAGTTACATTTGCCAACTACATAAGCCCTCGACCTAAAAGTCCTTTCTATTGTAATCTGTTCAACATTAAAATTCAAGAACACAATTTTCTTAAGATAAAGTTAGCATAATTTAGTTGCAAACTGCAGGTGATAAAATCTGCCAGCAACAGGTGTCATTTTGGCAGAAACAAACTGATGGCCCCAGGTAGAAATAAGAGGATGCTTTTGTATACCACTATCTGAAATTGACTCTTTTTTTCTTTTTATGACTAAGAAATCCAGATAGTGTACTGTTAATAATCTAAACTGTATATGTGCTGTGTGAGAATGAAAAGCCTGAAAGATGTAGCAACAGTAGCCAAAGGGGGCAGGTCTCAGCGAACTGTCCATTCAGTATATACAAAAACATATTCACATTAGACATAATGTTCTATTTCTACTATGGTGCTCTCGCCTGGAGTCTTCCTTCAGCTGGAAATAACAAAAAGTAAAAGACTTTCTCAAATGCCAACACTTTGCCTGACAGAGCAAGAGAGAGCGAGGGAAAGACAAAGCATGAGCAAACACAATTCCTCCCCAAATCCCTCCCCTCCCTCCACAACCCTTAAATATTCTACTTTCTCTTTTTCTTCATGCCCCCTTGCATAAGAAGTAAAACAAAATAAATATTTGATCCACTTTGAAACCACTTCTTATGAATATCTAACTCTGTTGTGAACTTTGAAGAGAACTATATTTGGTAATTTAATGAGGTAGCTGATGCTAAACAAATCTTAATTAATCCTTAATAAACAAATGAGGAGAGCAGTGGTGAGAGGGAGAGGAAGGGCTGATAGCACCCATTATCATCGCAGACCTGCTGCAAGAAAACACCAATAAAAGAACCTAATGAATCATCCAAGAGTGAGTACAATAATCATAAGGCTGATTGTTTTCAAAAGGCTATTAATCCTGTGTTTTTTATCATCTCACCAATCATAAATGAGTGCTTCAGCATGTGAAATTTGTGCACAGCCACCAAATATGTATACAAAATGTGATCCATCAAAAGAGTGACACTGGTTACACTTGAACAGTATTTATATAACGGTGTGTTGGTAGAGGAAGAGAAGAACTGAGGTTTAATTAGGCTTACAGAGAAAATAAATGTAAGCCTAATTAAACTTCACTATAAACTGTATTCAGTTTGGATTCATGCACGTTGTAGGTCAGACCTGAGAGAAGCTGTTTCCTGCTTCGCTGCCAATTAGAGTGAGCGATTCCACAGAGCACCATGATTCACATTAACCATCATAAGAGGGTGAGAGGCTGCAGAAATGCCACATTCTGCCTAAAACCCATTAAACAGCTAGATTGTCTACTTTTATCCATGGTTGTCTTCTCTCCTGGCTGCACTTTCTCTCCTCTTGAATTCCCGTATTTTCATGCCCTTGATTGCATTGTCATGTTTTCGTCTCTGATGAGGCAGTGAATGCAACAACACCTCTTTTATGTCCGACATTACTTATGTTGCACCATGGTTGTGGCTTGTGAACACAAGGCAGGAGGTTGTGTTGCCAAAGTGATGGAAATGAAAGCTGAAGCAGTAATCTAGTGTGCTTTATAGTTTTGGAACAAACAGACAGGAGAACACTTCTCTGAAATGGTGTTTAAATTCAAAAAGTCTCCTTGAGTTAAATGTGGGAGGTTTTTGGTCATTCTTATAACTCTTAGACTCCTTTCGCTGGGTTATTGACTAGATATTGATTTTAAAAAATCTATCAGTCCTACTTAACAAGTATTAAATTGGCTGCTTCAAGAGCCTAGCCCGATAATCAGACTGAATAGATTTTGACTCGTCCTGCGTTAAAAGTCAGGACAAATACATATTAAAGGAAACAGAAAGGTAATGATAACGATTGAGAAGTACATTCTCTTGCATTGCTGGTCTTTTGTCTTGTATATTTTGTGGTGCTGAACGGAGAACGGTCATTTCAAATGCATTCAAAAGGATAAGTCAAATTAGACTGTTCTTTTTGGCATCAAATCCCACTAAAAGACCAAAACCAATGATGTGTTAGTCCTCTCAACAGTAATACAATAATATAGTAAAACTATAGACATTTTACTAAAAAGTACAAGGACATAAACCCCTTATGGACAGGACAGAGAAAAACAACCTTTTTCACAGTTTCACAGTCACATAAAAGTCTGTCCCCCTCTGCAGTGGCATTAAACCTACCAGTCTCTAGGGCTAATGGTAATGTTCCTGAACACAACTGTGCACATAAGGAGCTGTGTCTTTTGTTTAAGTTATACTACACATACGTTCTGCACTGCAGCTATCCTTTATGCGACAATACATTCGTAATTTTCGTTTATACCATATATCATCAGACCATTTTTTATACATGAGATACATTTTACTCCTGGTCCCCTGAATATCACAAAGTAACCTGTTCTGGAAAATGAAGGACAAACTGTAAAATAAGGATGTCAACTCCATAACAATGTGAAATGTCCCAATTAAAAATATCTTTTTAGTAATTCTCTAAACAGACAGCTTCATAAGTCTTTTCCAAAGCCCGAAGCATTTGACATTTATGTCTGATGTTCTCCACTAAAGGTAGTTGGCGTTTGCTGATTACACCTGATTAGCCCAACCATTGAACTTCAGATGCAACTTCCTCTACTAGATCAGGTGCAGACACTATTTGCATACATTTATATTCCTTCCTCCTGTATTTTCTGCTTCCAAATAAGAACACCTAACATATTGCACGAGCCAAAACACACAATTTATAAATATTTAGCTACGCTGTCTTTCTTACATTGGACTGGCACAAAACCTTGGTATGGTCCTTTAGTCAATATGGTTAAAGGCATTTGGATTATTTAGCACCCCAAAGAGCTGAAAGTGCCAGAAAAGAAACATGGATTTTGTGAATTCATATTTTAAAACAAAATGAAGCATTTTGAATTGAACTGCTGTAGGTCCTTGTCCACTGAAGGATATTTTCAAGCACACATTCAAACACATTCATTTTTTTCATAATGTGACTGGATTGTCAAATGTTACCAGGCTGCGAGCAACAGACAGCTAATCAATACCCTGTGCCACTTTCACTTTATCTGTCATTCAATATGACAATATGTCAGATTTTTCAAATAGGCACATCTCACATTGGAATGAAACTCTTTTCAAAACGGGCACTTCACACTGCGCTCCCCCAATAGCAGATGTGTTGACAGCAGAGATGATGAACGATACGAGGACAAAAGCTGACAGATGTGATAAATACAACGTCGAATGGCTAATCAATCTCATGTGGGTAGAAGGAAACAGAGGAAAAACAGCAGCAGGGATCTCCTGGTGTGAGTCAGCAGAGGCAAAAGAGTCTGATTGGCAGCGAGTACGCGGGTTCGTGTGTGTCCGCAGACCGCATGTGTGCATGCATAGCCCGTGTGTGTGAAGCCTTTTCTTGGTCTCTCATGCCTGACCTTGTCTTTATGAACCAAAATGAACAGCAGGCAGTGTGTGTGTGTGTGTGTGTGTGTGTGTGTGTGTGTGCATTGGCCAAAACTCCATAAAAATACATCCCTGCCTCCTTTTTACAGTTTACAGGTTACAAAAGCCCAAACGTATTGAAAAATTACACACTGCAGAAACAAGCATGAAAGGAAGTGACAAATGACTGGCTTAAAAAATAATAATAACTTCACCATGGTGCAGGAGAATGAAATAACGACACCAGCTTGTACAGAAAAAAGAAGGGAGGTGGAGGAGAGAGTGAGCGTCTGTCTATTCGTCTTCACTTTCCTCAAATAGCTGACACTCCTTCCACTCCGGTCTTCTCCTCTGCAGCCTTTTTCGTTTTACACATTCTCACCAGAAGGCCATTACCATGCCCTAGATCATCTGAGTGCATCTGCACTTGACCTGTGTGTGTGTGTGTGTGTGTGTGTGTGTGTGTGCGTGTGCGTGTGTGTCCAAGTCAACATGACCTACTTAGACTCTGCATGGACTTCCAGAACATTATAGTATCCTCACAGCAAGGTTTCAGTCTAAAACATGCAGAAGCCATTATTTTCTCTACTCTCAGCATTTTCACCGGCTATCTTTAGCATCTGCATTTCAGAGTACATTTCCTCACATCCTATAGTACTCAAGGACGCACGCAGTGTCCACGGTATCAAGTATCTACTCGAACTGTGCACCCATACGCTACATGCACAAATACACACTGCCGCATCTTCTGAGACCAGTGCCAGACAGAGCCAGCATTCAAAGCGCTGCTATCTAGCACTATAAGAGCGCTCCCAGATTTAGGATCAAACTTTGTGTAGCAGAACCAGAGACATTGTCTTTATTTATTCCACGCATTCTTCTACCTTGACCACAATACAACTTGACTGCAGACAGTGTGGTTGGAGTTACGCAAACAGTGGCTAATGTAGCTTGGAGCCGAGCAGAGATGAGAAGCGGGCTACAGGTAGGTCTGGTAAGCTCCCTTCTTTCTCACTCCACACCCCCATCTTCAAACTCGTAGTCGTCCGATGCTGCCTCAAGTGATGTCACTCGAGACAGTGTCAGAATGTTTCATACAGCTCCCCTGAAGCCACCAAAGGCTTTATACAGTTTCTTTCACATATGCAGTTGCACTCCCCATGGCCCGTAAACACACTTTGATGTGTAAAATGGATGGTGATGGAGCTGTGCTTTAAGTTTAAACACATAATGAGATCTCACACTAACATCACATTTAATCTGCTCTATATTTACTGTATGTTTATTGGTAGTAATCTTATGGGAGAATAAGATGATTGTAGTAAAGTAGTTTTGAAATACACTGGTAGTGTTGCTTTGGGGTAGGCATTGCTGGTGCTACCGTCCATCTGTTCAACACTTTTGTCCAGATTAAAATATCTGGACAACTTCTGCATGGATTAACATTAAATTTGGCAGAGGGACAGAAATGGTCCTCAGAGGCTAAACCCAAATGATTTTGGTGATCCCCTTACTAGTACCACCAACAGCAGGTCAGACTTTTAATTTTTCCAATTCTCATCAGCAAAGTTATTCTCTTAGGTGTTAAATCTTGGATTTGGGCATACAAGATTTAGTCATCAGCAAAACTAGTGAGTTCAAAACTTTAAAAGAATGCAGCAGCAAGGATTCACTCTTACCTCTTATGCAGCACTTTAATGCTTCTTACATGTATATTTATCTTCCCTGGTCAAGAAACTCGAGTTTTAAAAGTAAAACTGGACAAAACAACACAACCACTTCACTTTCTGATTGATCAGTAACTCACTCTCACTTTCAGGCCGATAGATTAACTAATAGTTTAGCTTTAAATTAATGCACTTTATCTGCTAAGTGGTTGGTCCGTTTTGCTTTCAAACTACAAATGAACTCCACCAAATCAGTGTTTGTTTAACCTGAACCAAACAAGTAAGCCGAAACCTTGATAAATTAATAAATTCCCTTTTCAGTGTATTAATTACCCATATCTCAACTTATTTAGCAGAATTCCAAATATATCTGGTGCTGCTCTCAGGAAATTTCCTCAGATGGAGAAATAATCAATCCAATGAGAGCTTTTCTGTGTGAGACTAGTTGGCTGGTTAAAAAACATCTGGAGACCAGCAGGAAATCTTGTTAGGGGTTACCTCCAGTGGTTTAATTTCTCACCTTTATCAAACGTGATTTAGAAGTGTGCTCCAGTGTACAACACTAACTGCTTTTCAGACTGGCATTAAATTAATTTTTAAGTTAGTGACATATGAAACTGTGTCAGATTCTGACAGACAGGTCGGTGCACCTTAAATGTCCGGATTAACTGCTTATCTGGGGTGCTAATGGGTCATAATATACTGCATCTGCCTCTTTCTACTCTGTCCCAAAGCTTCTCTCATAGAGCAATCTACCACTCTCTGGTGTACTGTCTCAAGTGAGGCAAAAATGTGTGTTTAAAGCCTGATAATGTAATACAGATGCAATATTTTAAATGCTTTTAACAACACAAACCTCCAAGTCTCAGGAACCCTTTCCATTCTCACGTAGGTGTTCAATTGATTCACATCATTTTCATTCTCATCAAACCATTCATTGACCCCTCATGTCCTGTATAATAGCATTTGCATTTGTCATGTTTGTCTACTCATTCATTTAGGTTTTTCCTTTAATTTTTCACCTGTCTGTAAGGGGACAGCACACATTATACATATATACACATTAGGAACAATCTGTCAGTATGAGTCAAAACAGTAATATAATAAAAGACATGTAGCAGTCAAAAATGAAAGAGAAGCTAAAAACAGATGAACACATCAAGACAGATTCTGGCAGAGTCATGAATATTCTAACCTTCATAAATACATAATAAACACCAAACACAAAGTCTGGCTCTGCAGCCTAATGTCCCTGACAAAAGAAAATCAAGGTGTGGGCTTTGTCTTGTCCCTTTACTGCTTTGTCATACACAGTATCTCCATCAAAGCTTGCCAGACTTTGACAAAATGTAGAATGAAATGATGCATCCCACCACATTAGAGCATTTTCAAAATTGTACTGAGAGGGTGTAGCCCGTGACAAACAGATCAAAATATGGTGACACATGTGTGACACATTATCTCAGATGGGCATTCCATCATTTGTGTTTGCTGTTTGCTGTCGTCCTGTCTCACCCTGAGAGGACGGGAGGAATTATCCCCACTACTTTCTGGTGTTCATATTTCATTAATTGTGACAACCCTCTACACACACACACACACACCTACACACACTAAGAGTTCTAACCTGTTCCTTGACGGAGGCGAGGATGGCGGAGGTGGTTTCAGACTCTGAGCCGTCTCCGTTGGAGGCATTGAGGACGGGGCTCAACATGGTGGCAGCGCTGGCAGTGTCAGATGCCACCTCAGGCACTGGCATACCTCCTGGAAAACAAGGAAACATTGCAACTCTTTTACCATTATTAAAGACACCCTGACATGCCAGCGTTTAGTCTGAGTGGCTGTCACACCTACACTCTCCTACACTTGTACTCAGGGACAACTGTACACACAGATACGGACATTAGAGCAAAGGCAGAGTTGAAGAGAGACACATACACAGGTCCAAGTACTCATTCAATATTGATACAGTGGGATGACAGATCACTGATGAATCAGCCTTCTATTGGACTACATTTGATTCCACTGCAACACTTTGATCAGTTTTGATTTATGTGTTCAGCTATGATTAATTAAGCTTTTCTTTTTTTATCATTTTCTGACTTGACTTATTCATGTTCAGGGTCATGTAGAGCTGGAGCTTATCCCAGCATGCATTTGGCAAAGGGCAGTGAAACATCCTGGATAGGTGCACTTGTACAATTTGGAACAGGAAATCTAGGCCAGTGAGAAGAAAGTCTGCAGACTCCAAAGAGATCTGATCAGATTCAGTGGTACTACTAGCAGCAGGGCAGTACTGTCACAACAGTGCTAGGATTTGTACTACCATTAAAAACTGCTAGTACAAGATGAATACATTTTTTACTCCAGACTACATTGGTACCAGTCCTTGTGACAACAGAGGGCTATGTTTTGAAATGTACTAAAAAGTACACATCTGGCACATATTTGTGGCAAAGGGTCCTGTAATTTATTTCTAGGGCCAGTAAGTAACACACTGAGTTCATGTACAAAAAGCACTGCTCTCCAAAAGACACTAATTATTTCAAAAATGCTACTTTTAGCAGTGCCACCACCAGTAGGAAAGGCAGTAATAATAATAGTTGTGCTACTATTACCTTTTTGCTGGTATAATAAAGTAGTCCAATCATGGCATCTTTTGGCAGACAACCTGAAATTGAAAACCCAAGGCTGGCAATATGCTATAATTTTGTTTCTGTTAGCAATTTTAATGAAAAGTCCAAAACCAACAATGTGTTAGTTGGTGTCCCTACTGTCTGTGGCTCTTAGCCAGGAGTTCCTGCTGAAGATCTTTAAAAAAGCACATCACAAATATGATATATATATTTTCATTTTTCACAGAAATGCTCATAACGTCTAACAGCTGGGCCTTACTCAAACAGGAGTAAATAGTGCATTTGTTGGGGTATATTTTCAGCAGCAGATTAATACACATTTGGTGCTCTAGTGAGTATTTGGAGCTGCAGGTATGTCGGACTGAGTCAAAATAAACTACAGTGTATGTGTTAAATGAAGACAGAAGGAGAAGTTAATGTAGTCAATTAAGACTTCAGATATGCACATACATAGTTCAAAGTAATCAATATACTTATTACCAGCCATGGATGATTTTCACATCATAGAGTGAAATATGATTTTCCTTTTTTTTATTAATGTTTTTTGGGCTTTTATTGACTAATGGATAGTGACAGCTGAAGAGTGACAGGAAATAGGGGAGAGAGGGGATTACAGCAAAGTGCCACAGGTCGGATTCGAACCCTGGGTCGCTGCAGCAAGGACTCAGCCTTGATACATGGGGCTAAGCATGTGTGAACCACAGAAACACTGATTTTATGCATGTGTGGACTACTGAAATAATTGCATCTATCAATTTCGCATCAGCACAAAACACACCTTATGAATAACTTCATTCCCAAAAAAGCTGTAAGTGTTTAAAGGACCAATACACACACACAAACACACAC